AAACAACCAATAACAAATCGATCCTTGAGAGAGACAAAATAAGCCGGTTTTATGCAATAGCTATCAAGAGTTTTAAAACACCAATTTACTTGAACTCAAAACACGAAATCTATCAAGGTGAATTCCTTAAGCATTCAACATAAATAACTTGATAAAAATAAGCAAGCAAACGGATCAAAGCAAGCAAAGATTTCAAGTTCATCAATTAGGGTTTTAGGTTAACTTTTGTTCATGAATACAAGTTTGTATCCATGTACATAGTTAGGCTCTTTAGGGCTTTAATTTTATTTCTCAAACATACCAAAACATTATAGTTTTTAAGGGGGTCGAAACTTATGTTTAAGAGTTTAAGTTTCATACCTCAAATCTCCTTGTTTTTGAATGGACCTCCATTAGGGCAAAACCGGTTTGGATCTTAGGAGAGAGAGAGATCGAATCACTTTAATCTTTTAGCTAAGGCTTTACACCTGCAAAAGAATAGTTAGCAAGGGATTTCTTCTTCAAAATAACTTAATAAATTAATGAAGAAATAGGGTGTAAGTCGTTTGAGTAAGAGAGAAGTTTCTAGGGTTTCCCGGATTGGAAAAACAGAAATTTAGCCGCCGTCTTGTTTTGAAGATTCCGGTTGATTCCGGTGTCTGATTGACGCGCCGTTTGATCTGCTGGATTCCTCTCTTCCAGAGCTTCAGTTTGGTATGTAGATCGTCGTCTGGGTACACAGGGTTTGGGAGATACGTCGCTTTGAAGTTGCTGCAGGGATTAGGGTTTTCTGCAGCCGCCAAGAGAGAGAGAGAGCTACGAATTTTTGTGNAATAAAGCATATTCCTTAGGAGATAAGGATTACAACAATAAAGGGGATGATTATCCTAATCCTATAATGATTAGGATAACTACAACATATGGATAAACACAAGGGAGGATAGTGACTGATGCTTGGCCGCCTGGTATAGTACTGATGTGGTCTGGTCCATTTCTGGATATGTCCCAACCACCATCTTCATTTCTTAACAATATTTTAGTTTTTTATTTTTTTGATATTTTAGTTTTTCGTATCAGAAACTTGTAAAAACTCTCAAAAACTAAATTCTCTTTTTTTTTCAGAAACCCACTTTTACAAAATCTTGAATGACTTGTAAACTAGTTTTTAGAAGAATCAAAATCCAAAAATCACTCTAAAAACTATAATTTAAGACTGTAATCTGTTAAAAAAAAAGTAAACATAAGTTGTTTGACCAAAAAAAAAAAAGTGAATACGTAAAAAAGAAGAAAGTAAAAATTATTTAATAAGAGAGATAATAACGGTAAAAGCTGTGGGTTAAACCTAAACCTAACCACACGTAATTTTTCACAAAAAAAAAAACACACGTAATTTTTCACCGATTGGAACTAAGATACAAGAAAATTTTATTCTCTTCTCTGTGCATGCAAAAAGTAAACCTAAACCTAAACATGGAGACTCCTAACTGGTCGGAGCTCTGTACCGACATCTTGAGAGTTCTGTTAGAACGTTTGAGTTTTGTAGATTTCCACCGCGCTAAGACCGTGTGTCGTAACTGGTACATGTGCTCTAAACAAACGCTGCGGCCAAGAAGTGGATCACCGTTGCTGATGATACTATCTCCAGAAGATGATTATGTGCTGTTCAACCCTGACGAAGATAAGGTTTACAAGACAAACAGAGACTTTTCAGGGACACGGTTCCTAGCAAACTCAGGTAACTGTTTCCTAGCCCTAGATTCTGAATCGAATCTCCACATCGAACATGTGTTCAACGAGAAGAAGAGGATCAAACTTCCACCTATAGAGTCAATGAAGTCTGACCTTTGTAGTCTTAAACGAGTAGGAGATAAGGTATTCAACGAGAATGGTTTCGCATGTTTCCCAGAGAAAGGGTTTAGCAAAAGTGTGGAAGATCTGAGAGGTGTTTTATGGGTAGAAGAAGACGTGGAGGGCAAGGAACAAGAATACACTGTTGCTTGGTTTTTTGACAAAGGTGCTGAGTACATAGCCTTTTGCAAGAACGGTGATGATTATTACCGTACCGTTTCAACACGCCTTGGTGTTCACTACACGTCTCAAGGCATATCTGATATGATTCTCCAAGGTGACATTCTTTATGTCTACACCACTCGTAAATACGTTAGACTCCTGGATTTGTCTGGACAGGAAGGTTTCAAGGAAGTGCACAGGAGGTGTTTTATATTACGGTTTCTCCCAGCTGATCCTCAAAGTGGTGAGGAAAGGTTAAAAGTAAGCTATAACATTGCTGTTACAAGATCAGGAGAGGTTTTGTTGGTTGAGAGCATTGTTTTAAAGGCAACCAGCTCTGAAATAATGCCTATGAGGATGTTCCATGTCTACAAAACAAATCCTAATCCAGATTCTGAAGATATTCTCCACAGTGAGAACCTGTCTTTTGAGGTGGATTCTCTAGGTGATGAGGAGGCCCTCCTCCTTGATTCTGGTATCACTGTGCCTGCTGCACTTGGTATCCAACCAAACTCCATCTATTTCACACGTCATGACCATGTCCGTAACTTTGCTCAGGTACCTTCATCCCCGGACATCTGTGTTTTCAATTTGTCGACAAAGAAACTCACACGCTTCCCCATCCTTTCCTCCAAGGATGCTCTTTGGTTTCTCCCTTCTTAATTTGCTTTTCTGGAATTTCCAGCTTGTTTCAGTTTTGATAATAATACCAAAACTTTACTTCTATCAAACACATCTATTTATCTTTATTGGAACCATTAAGAACATACACAGAATAACAAAACTTTGCAAACATAAGGGTTCTTAAATCATATATGTATTAATATACATACATATTGGCTTACGTGAGCTTAACGTCCGGTTACAACTGTGAGGCTCACATCGTTGATAGAGACCTTTTGACTGCTCTGGTCAGAAGATTCAGCCTCAAAAACTCTTCTTCTTGCTATAAATGCAGGTTGCTTCGGCTCAGGGAGGTTCGTGTTCTCTGTAGTTAGCATCCAAATTACGGTGGAAACATTTGGTCTATTGCTTGCAACTTCTTGAACACATAACAGTCCAATCTGAACACATTTTGTAATCTCTTTCTCAAAACACTCATCAAAGACGATTGGATTGGCTAGAGAAGCAGCCTCACCGTCATTCCACAACTTCCACGCCTTTCGAAAAGACCAAACTTACTTAAGTTTCAAAGCTTAAGCATAAGTTAGTAAACACTGGTTAGTAAACTTACATAAGCTAAAAGGTTTAGGTCATTTTCTTTCTTGTGAGAGTTTCTTGTCCCACTTATGATCTCTAGAAATATAACCCCCAAGCTGAACACGTCTGATTTTTCTGAAAAGAAGCCTTCCATTGCATATTCCGGTGACATATAGCCGCTGCAATAACCAAAACCTCATTCACATTAGTTGTTAAAAAATAACTGAATATCAGAATGTTTGTTGTGTATGTATGCTTACTATGTTCCAACAACCCTTCTTGTGTTAGCTTCATCTTCATTTGCCAGGAATACTCTGGCAAGTCCGAAATCAGATATCTTTGGATTCAGATTGTCATCTAACAAAATGTTGCTGGCTTTTAGATCTCTGTGTATAATCTTTAGTCTTGAATCTCTGTGAAGGTACAGTAGACCTCTGCATATTCCTTCCATTATGTTGAACCTAGTCCTCCAATCAAGAATCTTTTGCTTCAAAGGGTCTGAGAGAAGCTAAGAAAATACTTAATTTTCTCTTCAAGTAAAAACAGAGTTAATTAAACAGATGAGATAAGTTTACCAAATAGATAGGCATCCAAGCTTTTTTTTGGCATGTATTCATATACTAACAACCTTTCTTCACCTTCAATGCAGCAGCCAAGTAACTTCACCAGATTCCGATGTTGCAACTTCGAAATCACTACCACTTCGTTCATAAGTTCCTCAAGTCCTTGTCCTGATGCCCTTGAGAGCCTCTTCACTGCAATTTCTTGCCCTTCAGGTAATGTTCCCTGATGAAAACATTATCAGTCACTTATTTCGAAATTAGACACATCTCTTTCCCAATGAGATTCTTGTTTACTTTTTTTACCTTGTAAACCGGACCAAATCCACCTTGCCCGAGCTTGTTTCCGGGAGAGAAGTTATCTGTTGCTGTAGCTAATACTTTAAACTCAAAGAGAGGAAGATCTTTGAGCTTGACTTGGTTAGAAGCAGACTCGTTACCACCTGTAAGTTCTTCCATTCTTTTAAACATTATCTCTGCACTTCTATCTTTCTCTGGTGCTGCTAAGGCAATCATGAATAAAGCAAATAAATTATGATACAAACTATCATCAATGAGTAAATAAAACGCTAACCTGGACGCTTTTTGAACTTCCAGCATGCTAAAAGAACACAGACCGCAGAAACAAAGACAACGCCTAGCACTGTTGCTGTGATCATAATTGCTAGATTGCTATGCGTTTCTACAAGATTTGTTGAGAGAAATCATAAGTCAATGAAGTCAAATTTTAATGAAGAAGACAAATGAGACTATTAGAGTTTATTTTACTCACTGAGTTCAGAATGAGCAACTCGAACATAAAGATCAATTCCACTCCCCAAAAATGATTGCATATCAACCAAATCACCACTCCAAAGCATGCATCCGATTCCTCTATCATAAGCATAAGCAGTGCAAGAACAGTTATCTAAACATTGCTTAGGGCACGCTTGCGCATTAGCTAGAGACTGTTCTGCATTAATTGGCACTTTCATCTTCTGCAGTTTCAAAAACCCATCTCCTTTTCCTCCACCACCGTTACTTACATTACTCTGCCTCTCACACCGCAATGAAGCTTTTCTCACACATCCACTAGTCCAACTCCTTCTGTTCCACTCTGTGTTGTTCCTTGGCACAAACCTTTTAACGCATTTACAAGGTGGATCTTCTCTAGAATTGCAGATCCCATAAGGACCACATCTACCAAATGCATCGCAATCCGTCGATGGAAACCTTACACCAATCCTCCAACCTCTAGTACTCCAATCTCTCTGATATATAGCTCCATCAGGATCCAAGTTAAAGTGATACATGAAAGAATCATTAGCAAATGACATTGAAAACGTTCCTTGATTATCATTGACAAGATTAAACCCATCAAGAAACAGAAGAGAGTCCACATCAGGTAAACCGATGAAAACCTGACCGTTCCAGGGTCCACTACGCCAGATTGGAACATTGTTCTTCCATATCAGAAGCTCAGGAAACATGAGCTTAGGAAACGTGAAAGAAGCAAGACCAGCTGTGTAGTTCCCTGTTGAAGGGTCTGTATAGCTTCTCCATGAAGTAAGCTTTAGATTCTCTCCGGTTCTGTTGTTGGTTCCAAGAGTCATTCTTGGTAAGAAAGAGTTATAAGGATGCTTGAAACTCTCCCACAGAATCTCACCGTTGTTTCTGTTGTCTTGTAGCCTAAGATTCCCACTATCCATTAGCTGAACCCATGTAGCATTTGGAGCCACTGGTACTGTGACGTTGGTCGACCACAGAAGATGGTTTCGAACATCCGTGACCACAAGATTTCCATCGTCAGAGATGGAAACAACACCGGAAGTGTCGTTGATGGGAGTGTCTTTGTTAGCAACCCAAACTACAGTTTGAACTGGAATCTTATCGTACCAAATCCCAACATAACGTAACCGAGCAGTGGAGTTTACAGGAGTAAAGAAGCCAAACCTGAAAACACCACTTTTGGAGAGAAGTGTCTCTGAGTCTTTGATAGGAGTCGAGAACGTGATTCTGTCTTCACCAAAACAGAGCTTCAACGTCAAGAAAGATGATGTTGCAAGTAGTATAAGAATACGTGTGTTCAGTAGAACCACCATAACTTTAATTGAAACAGAATGGTTCCAGTTTTGCCTTGTTGTTTGTTCTGCAAGAAGTAAGCTTTAGATTATCTGTCTCTATATAACTATGATGTAATGCTTCTTTCAACGAAGTAATGATGCGCCTGGTGGATTCAATGAATTAGCAATGAGTGGAATTAACCTCCAATCTTGACTTATCTTTTAATGGATTGTGGGATGAAATATATAAAGTGAGAGGACTAGTTGCCTTAGTGCGGTTTTAATGGAGCCATTGTTTAAAACTTTTTTTGAGTAAGTAAGTAGTCTATGGAAATAGAAAACAAAGATTACTTTTTGACTTAATAGTTCACAACAAACACTGTTGATTATATTCAAAACGACACATGTTTCAAAGACCGTTTAAGTCTTGAAGAAGACACAACAGAAGCATCAATGTCTCTGAAATTGTTCTAAGAACATTCAACTTCACACGGGCACTACTTTCTTGGAAGGGACCTGATTTTGATAATTTATATGAGGAAATCATTAGCTCCACTTTTTCTTGTCTCTCTCTAAGCTTTCAAGATCTCAATCTGAACATAATTCTCCAACCTACCAAAAATCTCTTAAGAGGTAAAAGATAACATTTTTATGAATCAAGATTTTGGCGGGAAGATATGTCAATGAAGCTGAAGTGGTAGGAGACTAACTCATGGCTCGATTGGGCAAAGCCCTTCACTTTCTCCACCATCGAAGCGATGATTTCTACCGGTGATGGGAGCATTGAGTAGAGAAAGTAGAGAGAATGTTTTAGGGTTTTTGAATTTGGATTTGAGGGGGGGTTTTGAGGATTTGATTTTTGAAAAAGGATGAATGTTTTGACCATTTGGTTTCTAAACCCGGTTCGATTCGGTTTTCCTCTAATTTTGATATTTTCCGGTTTTGATGATTTCGATTGAAATTTAAAACCCGGAGAAATTTTAGTTCGGTTTGGTTTCTTTTTAATGCAGCTTTTGACAGCTTTATAACGAAAAGTTAACAGTTGGGTCCGGTGGGCTTTTTGTCACAGTTGGTCTGTCGAGGGAAGGTGTAATGTTTTAGATTAACAAAAGAGAGAAGAAGGTAGTAAATGTTGTTAACGTAATAACTAAATTTTTATGTAAATGCAATTACGATTAATTATAGTATTTATGTCTTTCGTTAATTATATAAAGTGTGAAGAGGAGGAGATGATTGTCTTGAACAGAAATGGTCATGTCTTGAACAAGAATGGTCAAAACGTCCATTGATTAATTATAAGAACGTTCATGTGTTCTTTATTACAGATAACTCCATATTAAAATGGATTTAGTCGGAAATTTTTAACAAAGCATCATTTCTTGACATTTTCGTCTATCAAGCTAGTCACTGCATCGTAATATTGGTTTATTTCTAAATCATATTCAAATGTGATTAACATGTCTTCACATTTTCATACGATCTTGATCTTGTTGATTAAACATTAATTACGCTTCAACGACCATTCAATCTCATATACAATAATGTGTTTTTCTTATTTAGTTTGATAAACAAATACTCCCTCCGTTTCGAATTAGATGTCATTCTTGAGGAAAAATTTCGTTTCAAAATAAATGTCTCTTTAGAGTTTTGAGACAAAATTTATTATGTTTATATGATATTCTATTTTTCTATTGGTTAAAAAGTGGTTAGCTGTATTGATAATTGTGTTTTTATATTGAAAATATGTAAAATTAAATGTTTCCTTAATCTGTGTGTAAAAACCTAAAATGACAAATAATCTGAAACGGATGGAGTAAATGTTTGTCTTAAGAGTTTGTACATTTTATTACATTATTATATATCTGACTGCCAATGACAAGTGACACATTTTTTCCTTAAACTAGTGACACACTTGGAACTTAATGTCAAAGAGTTAACTTTTTTTTTGCTGTAACACAATATGTCAAAGAGTTAACTAATTAATGATATACTATACTAGTATTTGTTTACCTTCTAGCAAATTAATTGCTTACGCATATATGTTTTGCCGATGAGTACTGTTTGATACAGTTTTCTATGTCAGTACATATATGCAAACTGTTACATGTTAATTTTATAAGTTGCACTTGTGTCAGTCATAAACATAAAATACGGTTAATAATATATACTAACATAATCCTTTTGATAATCAATTAATCATAATCGTAGCTAGATTCAGTTTGGTTTAAACTCCAAACGTACAACGAGTCATCGAGCCATTAGATTAAGATTATTCCGATGGCTAATGGAAAGTCAGCTCATTTCATAACACTTTCCACTTAACAAAAATAGTTATATAACTACTAATTAATTAATCATTGTCGCATACTCGCATGCATAGTTACATGTGATCTTCCGAATATTTTGTAGATGCGACAAAGATAATAGGGTTAACACATACTGTACATGGGAGAATTAATTTCATTAATTCTAATTTCTAATATATTAACATCAAACGAAGCAGCCGCAAGTTTGATTACGCAACAGTGAGTTTACCGCATTACAGTCTTTCTCATTTGACATTTTCATCGGGAAGTATCTCATTCTTTGCAAGTATTTTATTAAAAAAAGGTGGAAATCTTTTTATCAAAGTAAAAAAAAAAGGTGGAAATGGCTAAAAAACAAAATTAAAGTAAAACCATACTGACTTTCCAGCGAAATACCATAATGGTAATTATGGTATTGTTATCCTTAATAATGTCAAGTGCCACTTGAGATAATTATAGTATTAGACAAGTAGAACTAGAAAACTAAACACCTACCAATAAATCAGTTAAACTTTTAAATCAAACCAAACTGAAGCCTCGAGTATGATTAATCTAGTTGCCAAACAAGACTAGAAAAGATCTGAAATGAAAACAAAAAACATGATTGACAAATGGGCAAATGAATCATAAGGAAAAAGCACAAAAGAACACGGTTAATAATAATTGAGAAGGCGTCACGTTACATGAGAAACAAAACCAGTTTTGAAAGTCAACGTTGAACGCTTCTAAAAAAGACATTCAGATTCAGCCATTAGTTTACACAGTCTCTAATTGTGGGAGGTCTTATCTTCATTCTTCTTCCTTCCTTCCTACCTTCTTTCTTTCGCCTTCTCATTACTCCCTCTATATATTCTGACCCGACAACTCCGCTGTTCATAATTAAAATTGCGTAAGCGTATTTACTTAAAACTGTTGAGTAAAAGAAGATTACGAAACTCTCTCCCTCTCTCTCTTAGTGTTTTTTATTATATAAAAAGACCAGATTTCTGGGAAGAACAGAGTCATTTGCGCTTTTTCCTTTTGAGTTGTAATGGCGGATCAAGTAAAGGAGAGGACTTTAGAGGAGACCTCTACGTGGGCCGTCGCTGTGGTTTGCTTCGTCTTACTATTCATTTCCATTGTCCTTGAACACTCCATTCACAAAATTGGAACTGTAAGTTTCTAAAGATTCCTCTGTTTAGTGTTCTTGCTCTGTTTCTTCTTTTGTTTAGATCTAGTTTTCTCTTTTTTCTTCTTCAAATATTTTTGTTTGTTTTGACATATTTTTGTTATTTGGATCTTCTTCTTGCTCATTTTATGCTGTGTGGATATATTTTACTCTGTTTTGTGTCCTTGTTCTGCTTCCTACTCTGTTTCTGCGTTAGTTGTCACTCTGTTTTTCTCACTTCCTCTGTTTCATTCCTCTTCTCTTATGACTAAATCTGCTCTTTGTTTTTTTTTTTAATTGCAGTGGTTCAAACAGAAGCACAAGAAGGCTCTTTATGAAGCTCTTGAAAAAGTCAAAGCAGGTAAAAAGTTTGACAGCACTAAACCCAAAACAATCAAAATATCTTTTTCTACCTAACTTCATCCATTTAACAAGTTTCTTATTATTTTAACACTATTTTTTTTTTGTTATTTAGAGCTTATGTTGTTGGGGTTCATATCACTACTCCTAACAATTGGACAAACACCAATCTCAAATATATGCATCTCCAAAAAAGTTGCATCATCAATGCACCCTTGCAGCGCCGCACAAGAAGCTGAAAAATACGGCAAGAAAGACTCAGGCAAAAAAGGAGACGATGAGGAAAAACCAAGTCATAGACTTCTCCTTGAGTTAGCTGAATCTTTTATCCCTAGACGAAGTTTAGCTACCAAAGGTTATGACAAATGTGCAGAGAAGGTAACTAAAAAAATCTCCCATATCTATATGCATACCATTCTCTTATTACTGTTCATCCTCTAGTATATGACTGTGATTGATGGATTGTCTCAGGGGAAAGTGGCTTTTGTATCTGCTTATGGTATCCACCAGCTGCATATATTCATCTTCGTGCTCGCGGTGGTTCATGTTATCTACTGCATTGTCACTTATGCTCTCGGAAAGACCAAGGTAGCTTTTCTTGTGAATAATGTTGTCGCTAGAGAATCAAGAAATGTTACATGCAAAAAGATTTGATTTCTTGTTTTCTTGAGTGTTACAGATGAGGAGGTGGAAGCACTGGGAGAATGAGACCAAGACCATAGAATATCAGTATTCCAACGGTATGCCCTCTGCGTTATTGATTCAGATTTAGAGTCCGAATATAGTATGACAATTGATGGTGAATGCATTCATGTTATGTAGATCCTGAGAGGTTCAGGTTTGCGAGGGACACATCTTTTGGAAGAAGACATCTCAATTTCTGGAGCAAGACTAGTGTTACTCTATGGACAGTCTGTTTTTTCAGACAGTTCTTTGGATCAGTCACCAAAGTTGATTACTTAGCTTTGAGGCATGGTTTCATCACGGTAAGGAACTTATAGGGATCTTTTGTTTTGTGTTTATCTACTGTTTAGTGTAAGAGTTACTAAGATGAAGAGATAAAGCATGAAAGACAGAGAGTGATCAAAGAATGTGTCCTCTTGACTTAATGTGTACACTGTTTATAATAAGAAATTGACCTAACTTATTCTTTTTTGGTTCAGGCTCATTTTGCTCCAGGGAGTGAAAGAAGTTTTGATTTCCGCAAGTATATTCAGAGATCATTAGAAGAAGACTTCAAAACTGTTGTTGAAATTAGGTTTGGATCGAACTTCATTACCTTTTGATAATCTGAGAAAAAAATCCAATTTTGACTAAATCTTTGCTAACTTTTGTTTGCAGTCCGGTTATCTGGCTTGTAGCAGTGCTATTCCTCTTGACCAACACAAGTGGTAACACTCATTGCTTACCTCGCAAACACACAATATCTCTGCACCAATATTGACACAAAACTGACTATGGTTTTCATTTGTAACAGGACTACGTTCTTACCTCTGGCTACCATTTATTCCACTCGTTGTAAGTACCACAAACCATTGAACCAATAAACATCTCTGCTACCTTGTCATTTTACCGCTTTTTTTTGTTAACAGAATGAATGTAATGTACAGGTGATTCTAATAGTTGGAACAAAACTTCAAGTCATTATAACCAAACTGGGTCTAAGAATCCAAGAGAAAGGTGATGTGGTGAGAGGAGCCCCAGTGGTTCAGCCTGGTGATGATCTCTTCTGGTTTGGCCGCCCTCGGTTCATTCTTTTCCTAATCCATTTGGTTCTTTTCACGGTACGTTTCAATATCCTTAACCACTCGGTTCATCCTAACGGTATGATGATAAAACTCATAAGCCCTTGACTTTGCAGAATGCATTTCAACTTGCCTTCTTTGCTTGGAGTACGGTAAGCATTTTCACATTTTCTTCACACAAACATTGATATTATTGAGCCATACTAATTGTTATGTCATAAACTTTTGGTATCTGCAGTATGAGTTCAATCTCAAGAATTGTTTCCATGACAGCAATGCAGATGTGATCATTAGAATTGTAGTTGGGTAAGCTAACATAAACTTGACCGTTGATTCTGAGAAAAACGCGGGAAAATTAAGTCCTTTAACTAACATAGTCACAACCTTTGCAGAATTGTTGTACAGATACTTTGCAGCTATGTGACTCTTCCACTCTATGCTCTTGTCACTCAGGTACTTGACACAGCAAAAGTTGCAGTTTGGATATGATCTTAGTTTTTCTTTTTTTCCTGACATTATTGCGTTTGATGAAATGTGTGTAGATGGGTACTAAGATGAAGCCAACGGTATTCAACGAGAGAGTAGCTACAGCGTTAAAAAAGTGGCATCACACAGCAAAGAAGCAGACAAGACATGGAAGACACTCTGAATCAACCACACCTTACTCTAGCCGTCCAACCACACCAACTCATGGCTCATCTCCAATCCATCTCCTTCACAATTTCAACCAAAGAAGCGTTGAAAGCTTCCCCAACTCTCCTTCTCCTAGATACTCTAGTCATCATGATGGACACCAGTTTTGGGATCCTGAGTCCCAACACCCAGAAGCTGGATCTTCCTCACATCATTCTCTTGCCCATGAAAGCTTGGAAAAGAAACCTGTTCTTGCGTCCGTGGAACTTCCACCTATACGGACAAGCAAAAGCTTAAGAGATTTCTCATTTAAGAGATAGGTGATTCTTGATTTACATACAGTGGGAGTTTGTTATAACTAAAGTACTTGTACATTATTACTTGTATGAGAACCAAACCATTTATAAAGATACATGTTATATCTTTCTCAAAGACTTGGTCAAAGATCTCAGGAAAGTTGACCATGCCTACAAAACAGAGAAGCTTTGTAATGCTCGAGAACAAGTGTCTAGAGACTTTAAAAAACTTAGTAGAGTTGGGAGAGACTCATATAAGCTAAAAGAGTCGAATTTGACTTTAAAATAGAGGTAAAAAAAATAGGTAAGCACAAAAACACTCTTTGATTGGCTAAATATTTATTCACCACGAATTGAAAACCTTGTTTAGTCCTTTTTAGTTAGTCAAACATTTTTGTATTCATATGAATATATGATTGATCGACACGTAGTTAACTGGTTACCGTAGTTTACCACTGAAATATATATATGATCAAACGACCATATGACTTGGTGCCTGATGCCCTAGACATAACGGCAAATTAATTATAGGAAAATGAAGTTCCGTAGCTGCGAAGTAACATACATCATTTTGGGGTTCTGTTTTTCTTTAAAATTATGAATAACTGTTCCTTTGAGGTTTTCAACAGTATTGGGATCTTTTTTGATGATTGATGCATTCAACTGTCACAAGATGATGTGAATGACACATGAGTTTTGACTTTTTGTGCATTAAGAATTTTTTTATGGATCACTGGATATTCACCGTAGTATAATGGTGGCACCACCGGAGATGGTTTAGTTTAGAGAGAATTAGGCAAATGCCCAAAATGGAGGTCAATATTAGGGGATTACACATGAGTTGACATAAATGTAAAGTTTTGTACAATTTGGGCTTGGTTGGACACTGCTAGCCTTCTTACAATCGGCTGACAATATCTCTTTTCCAGCAACACTCTCTCTCCTATTTCTCTTTTTATTTTCATTATACTTTCTTTATTTTCATATTTTTTCTTCCATATATTTTTTTTTTTACATTAAAAATCAATTGACATACTAAACAAAACATTGATTAGTTTAATTGCACCCCATAATAAAAAAAAATTTATTGACGTCTCTTTAAAATCGCCAGAAATAATCAATATTGTCAATAGTTAACATCTATAATATTTGTTAACAGAAGTGTTAGATGTTAACGAATATATGTACCCGCATTATTAGCTGTTAATCATTATTGTAGATGTTAACAAAGATATTAGATGTTAACAAATAGATGTACCAAAGATGGTAACGTAGATGTTAGCTGTTAATAAATAATGTAGGTGTTAACAGAGATTTTAGCTGTTAACAAAAACATGTTTCCGATGTTAACAGAGGTTTTAGTTGTTAACAAGTATATGTATCAGAGGTGTTAATAGACTGATAGATTTTTAACTTTCTTTTTTAAAAATCAAAGTAGATTAAAATAAAAAAAATAACAAATTTTCTTTCAACATTTATTTAAATTACAAGGAGAAAAAAAGAAAAAGAGAAGAGAACAAACATAATTGAAGAAAGAATGAGAAGAGAGAGAGATGGAGTGTTTGTAACGAAAAGGAGAAAGAAAAACTGACACACCCACATGGGAGAGAGAAAAGGGTAATTTCGTCATAAAAAAAAAATAAGTCCTATCATGGACATTTGCCTAATATAAGCTCCCAAAAGGGTGTTGGAGCAAATTATCTCTTTAGTTTACTGAAGAAAGAGAGTTTCTTTTAATCCATTCTTGTGCCCTCTGAGTTAGGTAGGGCTTCAAACATACATATCACATTTATGCTTTCGCTTTACATTATTTTAGCTTTCTTTACTCTGTTTCTTTCTGTTTTGGTGGTTCTTTTAGCTGAAAGCAAGCAAGCTCATGATAATCGTTGTTTATAAACCGTTCAAATTTGTCTAATTTCATTTATTATATTTAATTTTGATAATTCATCAAAATAATTATATAGTTAAACCCAAAAACTAAAATATCTTATATAAATGTAAATTTATATAAAATAAATAAATATACGGTGACTTAGATAGTCAAATGAAACAAAAATGGCATTAAAATATAAATCATTCTTAATTTTAGTTGTTCCATTAACTTTCCCACCAAATTAATATAATATTTTAGACCTATTTTGCTCTGTCATTTTGACGTACAATTTCACTATAATATCCTTTTTAACTGCATCTTTTGCTTAATAACACATTGGGCAAACAAGGGATTACACATCCTCCACATCACCAATTTTACAAATACTTCGAATCCTGGGTACATATAGCTAATTACATATGTGTCTATGTATATAAAGCTAAATTACATCTGTTTAGGCGCTAATAGTTATAGTGATCCCCCAGAGTCAAAAAAAAAAATCCCCTATTTATCTATTTCAACCATTTCTAAACACCTTTATATATCTTAATGTTATATATTATGGCATTTTCAAGGTGTTTAAAATTCTATAACTTATTCATGATTTGATTTCTTGCCGACTGTCTCATAGAATTAAATCTTTAGAATTTCATTTAATTGGTTTCGAAGATCAAAATATTTGATTTTATTGGTCCTTACTTAGATAAACACATCAACTCAAATTTTTTTTCCTTGCTATGCTATTAGCTTATTAATAAGTAGTTGAATCGAAATCATGAATTATCAAATGAATTATAACAAAATATGAAGTTAATATGTTTTTAAAGTCTATGCTTTTATCCTTGTTTGAGATATATAAACAGATGAACTCAGAAACATTGGAAAACACTTATTATGATTACTTTAACTTAAGATCACATTCTGATCTTTGGCGGTTCTATATTATTTTTTAATTTTAACAATTTTGACACAAATCTTGATTGATTTTTTCTATCGATTTTTCAATGTGTTTTCAAATGCATAATAATAGCTTGGAAAATCCCCAAGTCTAGCTGACATACATTTTCTTCTCATTAAAACCTATATAAATTTTACGTAATTCTATTAATATTTTTATCACAAACGATGGTTTTTAGCTGTTATGCTCAATTATTTTCAACTTGTAAGTTTAAGTAGTTAGATTATATCAGGTTTCAACTAATTAGTGCACAAATTCATAGTCAGTCTCTTTCCTAAACCTACCACAAGAGATGATAGTACATAATTAGGTCAAGTGTGCTTGATGTTGCATCCAAATGAATTCTACTTTGTTTTCTTTTTCCTTAAATCCTCTTACAATTGTTTATTGCCGATACTTTGAGATCCTTTAACACTAGCTAAATAACTTTCTTGGAAAGTAAGAGAAATTATCAAAAAAATTGTCTTTGCATCCAAGATAAAAGTTTAAAGACAATGGTCAAGAATGACATCAAAAGTACATTTTAGAGGTTCCTAACTGAGGTTAGTTTAATACCAGAGATTTCAAGACCACTCGTGTTGAGGAGGCTCAAAAGGTGTGAGCATGGAAGGCTCATAAAAACATTATCTTCAAAATCAAAGATGTCAAGACCACTCATGTGTTGAGGACAAGATCTAAGAAATGTTACTATTTGTTTTAATATCTGACCAATAGCTATTAGGAGTTTTTCCAACATGTTACATTGTTATGCTTGGGAATATGGTTGTGCCATTAAAAACTAAGGAACAATAAACTGTATAGCGCTCCGCTGAAGTAGAATATTATGCTATAGTTACTTGTCACACTTATGCAACATCGTATGTCTCAAGACAACAAAGCAAGATAGTTCTAATTTTGTATTACTTTGGTGTGGATGTGAAGCAATTCTTTCTCAGCACCACAATAGCCTCTTCAAAAGCCTTTTTCACTTCATTACGAGGTCCCAAGAGCTGTGGCCATGAACAATACCAGAGCTAATTAAAACACTGAAAAGTAAAAAAAAAAATCAAATTATCTTAAAATTTACGAGTAATAAAAATTTACCTCAACCGTGAACCTCTCAAACATATTGGAGTGGTCTTCTCTGACATAAGCTTGTATACCCTTGTAGATGACACTGAAGATTTCTTGATTTGTATCCTTACTTTCAAATTCCATGTAGCTGGTGTTGAAGGAGGTTATCTTATCTGCAATAAGACTTATTTGAGAAATTCCAACCAACAGACGTTGGAGATGGGGTTTGCCCCTGCAGTGACCGCAACAGCTGAAAAGCTGACGTCCTGCTTCTAGGGTGGGAGAGATTTCCTCTTCATGATCTTGGAAAACCGAAATATATTGTATTCTAATTATAGTGTAACGCTCCGACCGTCCACGGCTAATCGCCACCCATGTTCGCTCTCTCGGTCCATGGGCCCTATCCCATTCTAATGGTCGGTCCGGTAATTTCCAAGGCTCTAGAGTCATGTTACTGATCCTGAAATCACCACATGACTTTTACCCGTGCTTTGGCATCACTTACACGGTATCGCAAATCACTTCCTGATAGATCACCCATCCTTTCACTACTCCAGATCAAGCACGCTTAACTCTGGAGTTCTCTCTGGATGTGCTCCCGAAAAGGTAAGTGCAATTTGATGACATAGTAACGAAATCAATTCTCTTAAATCTTTCCATATATCACAACTCGTGATGTTACATATAGATAACAAAGTCCTATAATAAATATGATGATATCAAAGTTTTATAATAAAAAAAATAAAAGTCGGTGAGTTACCTCTAGAGCAGAGATCGACACGATCAAATACTCATGATCGTTCTCAAAATGGTGTTGCCTACTTCTACGGACACTTCCATCTCTGTCCATGATGTTATCTACCTTAGCGCTGAAATTTCATAACATAGTAATTTCAGTGTAACTAGAGTCTTTCCAGTGTTGTCCTCTTCAGCCTCTGTCTCAGTTTTCTCTCCTATCATGAGTTCCTCACTTTCATCCATGTCCATGTGCTTCATTAAGCTGAAGTTCATCCTTTGATGGCGTCAAGCCAATTCTAGGAGATGCCATCAAAGGATGAATTTCACCTTAATGAAGATATGGAAATGATGCTGCTAGGGATCCCGCCATCTTCCTTCCGATGTTTCCTCCGATTTGAATTTCTTTCTTTTTTTCTCCTCTTTAACGAATAGAATTTGAAAATATATAGTGTGCGAAATTATAAATTTTAAACAGAACCTGGACTCACATTTATTACAAATGGGCCTAAAAGCCTAATATGTTTTTTTAATATTTGCCGATACATAAACTGAAGATACATATCAAAACTAATCATATGCATAATTTCACCACCATGTTATACTGAATCATATTCACATAAATATATCTTGACTAATACACTTCTTTTTTTTTCACGGAAATTAGAAATTACAAAAAAAAAAAATTCTTAAAACTTATTTAAAACAAACTCAAACATGTTTAGTTCCTTGGTTGTTGCTCTTGCCCATCTCAAGCCCATTACCATACTCACCATCCTCCACAAACCTCGACCAATACCAATGTGACCTCCACACTTGTCCCATTTCCTCTATGGGAATCCCTTTCGTCTCCGGCAAGAATATGTAGACGAAAATCGACATCACCACCACAAAGAAGGCAAACACAAGGAATAAACCGAACTTCAAATGGCAAAGCATCGTCAAGAAGATCTGCGCTATTATAAACGTGAATATCATGTTCACCGACACTGTGATACTCTGCGCGGCCGACCTTATCTCCAACGGAAAGATCTCACTAGGTACTAACCACCCTAGCGGACCCCATGACCATGCGAAACCCGCCACATAGATGCATATAAAAGTTACAACCACTATAGCATACCACTTTGGTAGCTCACCAGGGGTCCCGTCTACCCCAAACTTGGCCCCAATGCATGCAGCAACCACAGCCTACAATCACACAAGCATAGTTTCATTAGTATTTAATGCAAATGGATTTCAAAACCATCTACATCAGGTCTAAATCATAATATATATACGTTTGTGTATTATGAAAATTGATATATAGACACTCATCTACGTCAGCACTATTCGTATATCAATTTTCTTACCCAATAAAAATCACTCTCTAGACACATAACGTCAAGTTTAAGGGTCATATATCATGTTATCCAACGTTTTATATCCAATTAGAATCGATCTCTCTTAGTAGATGTGTTTATATAAGTTATATATATGATGAGTTATATATGTTTATATCCGATAAATATAGAAAGCAGATGTGTTTCCTTACCTGGCATATTAGCATTTGTGTACCACCTTCCAGAAATAGAAACCTACGTCCCCACTTGTCAACACCATAGATCGACACAAGCGTGGCAGCCACGTTGACCGAGCCAGTGACCACGGCGGACATGAGAGAAGCATCGGTCGTGAAACCAATGGTGTTGAACAAAACAGGAGCGTAAAACATAATCACATTGATTCCAGTGAGCTGCTGAAAGAAAAGGAATCATAATGGCCATGGTGAGATGCGGCCGGTACTTACGGCGGAGGAGGTTTGTCCACGGATGCTCTATCGACTGAGACTCTTTACTAGCTGCTACTAAATCGTCAAACTCTTGGCTGACGTCATCGACGCCACGGATGCGTCTGAGCTTGGTTTTGGCCTCCTCGTGCTGGCCTCGCTCGATCATTGAGTTGGGAGTGTCAGGGAGGATCAGGGAGCCGAGTGTTATGATCAGGGCAGGGACCACCGCGCCGCCGAGACTGAGCCGCCATCCCCAGCCGCCTTTGATTTTGGCAAAGAAGTAGTTGAGTACTTCGGCTACGAGGATTCCGATAGTGATTGAAAGCTGGAAGCCGATGTTTAGAGCTCCTCTATATTTGTATGGAGCCATTTCGGATAGGTAAAGTGGCACAGACTGTAAATATAAAAATTATAACATGTAAACATATAGGTCAGTTACGTCAAATATGTTATAACCTCAAGAAGATACGGTCCGAATATAACCTTTTCTAACTAAAGATTCGTATCAATGAGTGATCAAAAGTTTGTAATATAAGATATGACGTCAAAAACAATATATTCAGTCACTAAAATAAGGAGAAAGAGACGTCACGGGTTAAAAGGTCAGACCATGTGCTGTTGTGAATATTCAGTCGAAGACAAATCACTAAGAAATTAAATAATTGTTATACTATCATATAATATAATGTGGAAAGTAAATCAACGTCGTCGTAAACTCATAGTAAAAGCAAGAGAAAAATAATAATGTCAACTTGACCTAATTATCTACTCTATTAAAATAGAGTCATTATTTTTATCTACCTATAAGTAGTCTACTATCTAGGATCATTTATCTATAATCCTAATCCTAACAAATATGAATATATGTATAACAATATTTAGCCCTTAAAAATAGCATCTATTTTTGTTGGTGATTTATATTTGTATATACTGCCGATGTATATTGTCTTAACCTTTTGTTCGTGATTTATATGTGAACGCAATATACAACCTTTATATAATATTAGATAATAGTATAAATATATGCTATGTTGTATATTGTCTTCAACCTTATATTATATTTGTATATTTGTATATCTACGTGAGATTTATATATAATTTTAATGATCGGAGGTTCATGTATATTACCTTCACATATAAATCACCAACAAAAGGTTAAGGTTGTATATTGCCTTCAACATTATATTATATTTGTATATCTACGTGAGATTTATATTGTATAAAGGTTGTATGTTGCCTTCACATAGCATATATAATATTACGTTTAATATTATGTCGATATGATATAGTACGTATATAAAATATTTCATCTAATATATTTCTTAACTAATTTGGTCTTTGTGTATTAGAAACAACTAACCTAAACATAGCTAAAAGAGTATAAATATATTAATAGAGTAAGATGCCAAGAATTATGCTATGAATATTCTTGCAAATTAAACTTTTGCTTTCGGATATATCAAAACGGATATATCAAAACTGAATAGATGTTTTTAAGCAATCTTAACGAAAAAACTATAATAACTTTGAAATCCTGTTTATATTCATTTAACCAACAATACTGTATAAAATAAAATTCGTTGTATTTCAGATTGTTATATCCAAACAGATTATTTTGGATTAGCGAATTCCACCAACAACTATAACGGTTTTTATCGATCAGATTATTGTTTTCAAATAATTTTTTATAGATAATCAAAACCAATTGTGAATATATTATTCCTAAAATCCTGGTATCCATTTAATATGCTCTTTCTATCTACATTCTTAAGATTTCATATCTTAACTTCATTTAATAGGTCCTACAAAATATGGAATTTGGAATATACTTTCGATCTAATTTAACAAATCGAACAAACTATCTACTCTATTAAAATAAAGTCACTATTTTTATCTACTACAAAGAAGTCATATAGGACCATTTCACTAATTATTACTTAGTATGACAAATTACATTATTTAGGTTAATCAATCCAATATATATCATATATGATGAAAATAATAGATTTACATTTTATTTTTAGTTATAACAGAATCGGTTGAGAGAAAATTTAACAAAATCTTACTAAAAGTTTAAATATTTTTTATTAAATAACATAATAATGACTTTTTTAATTAATAATATCATACTATTATACATTAATACTAATTAAAATTTACTATAATAACAAAAAAAGAATCCTATACTATTTTATAAATTTCATATTATAGTCTATGTTATATTAAAATAGAATTGCACTATGAATTAAATAAAATAAATAAAGTTGGTAAATGAAACTTTATTTTAAAATTTATTTCACTTAAATAAAAAAATTATTCACCATTAAAAGGATTAACATCATAAATTATGTATATTTTTTATACAAAAATGTTAGCATAATGCTAAATTTTTACTATATCTTATTTTTTACTTAATTTAAAACTCACAAAAACATATTATCTAAACTGATTATATAAAAAAAATAATAGTATATAACTAACTTTTAGTTCATGTGTTATTTAAAAAAGATAGGATATCAGAAAGTTTTACTAACTCAAAAGATATTAGTGAAAAATATTTTTAACTGAAAATATAATATTTTTATTATAAAATAATATGTTGAGAAAATATAAAAATATAAAAAAAAAATTTATATTAATAATGTTGAAGAACAAAGTAAAAAATTAAAGAATATTATATATTAATAATGTTGAATAAAAACCTACACCAATTAGATTATAAATTTACACAATATATAACATAAAAATATAAATTATATATTTAAAACATTTATATTAATATTAAATATTTTTTTAAAATGAAAAATATACCCGCACGAACGTGCGGGTAAAAACTCTAGTTTGATTGTTATGTTCAGTGGAAGTTGTTGGTCCATGACCTTTTTAAAACCAAGGTACATTTATAGCGAAATATAAATAAGTTTCACTTCACTGAATTTATAAGATAACACGTCGAATATTTATTTTATTTTCGTGTTGTAAACATGAAAATGAATAAATCGAAAAAGACAAAAAACTGAACAATATAATTTTACTATTATCGTTAGTAATAAAAAAATCATCATAATTGAGTTTATGGTTATTAGTGACGCACCTGATTAGCGAAACCGATACCAAAACCGAGCAAGATACGACCAACGATGAGCATCCAAACGTGTTTAGCAAAGCCATTGATGAGAGCTCCGGCGCAGAAGAGTATGCCTCCGAAGAGCATCGAGAGCCGCCGTCCGAACTTCCTCGTCACGGTGGAAGCCACTAGCGACGAAATTAGCGCTGCCAAATACAGCGACGATGTGAACAACGTAAGCGTTGGACTATCGTATTGACAGTACTGATTCGTTGTCGCGTCTTCTTGCTGTTTACGGTAAACCGACGGGAAAAATCGCCGGAGAAAAGACGGCATCGACGTCACACCACCTTTTATATTAAAATTGATCAGACAGGGTTTTCATGACTCTATAGAAACATATGGGGCTATTTTACAAATTTTTAAAAATTATAAATCTTGTTGATATTTCATTATGGAATCACTATTAAGACTTCCAACATGGGGATGTAAGTATAATTTGTAAGTAGATACTTTTGGGATGGAAATGTAAAAGCTGAGAAATAGTGAGATACTTACCAGAGATACCAATATCGTATCCGAAGATAAGACCACCCATGGCAGCTACGACGCAAGTGAAGAGAACAAAGGGAGTGAGTTTGCCGGGATAAGCCTTTTGACCATCTCCGACAACGAATCCACCGGCAGGCATTTTCTAAAGAAAAATAAATAGAAGAGAACCCTGAAGTATTTAGTTTTTCTTTTATGAACCCTCTTGTTGCTAAGATGTTAGAGAAATTGAAAAGAAGTTTGATTGAGAGATCAGAGATTACTTATTATTAGAGTTATATATATAGACAGTGGGGAAGAGAAGGGAGTAAGTGTTGAGCTGTATTGTCGTATTTTCTTAGTTGTGTGAATCCATAATAATTTAAATTTTCTCATAATTAATTAATTTTTTGCTAATTATCCACATCATAAGATAATTGAATAATGGTGTCGCTGTTTCAATATTGTGAGCAACTTGGTGACCGTTATGTGAACATGGTATTAACTGCATCATACGTATATTGACTTTTAAAAGCAAGTGGACTTATAATTATGATAGGCTTTTTTCTTATAGTACTCACTAAGTAAATAGTAGTTTTTCCTATGTGAAAGTAAATTATCATAACCATAATTATGCTGCCTAAAGTGATAAACAGAAATAAAATTTAGGTGCTAGCTGGTTGTCAGATTAACAAGAATAGTGTAGTAGTAAGATAATGGATTAGTGAAATAAAATAACCATGATTCATGAAGTTTCAGAAATGGTTTTAGTAAATTTCATATTTCATATTTCGTAATGTGACAGGACTATCTAAACAAATTAAATTCAACCAAAAACTGACAAATCAATCTTGTAAGAAAAAAGTTGTGTGGTAGCCACATCTAGATATGTAATGTGCATGTGTCAAAAACATATTCTCGCATATGTCCCGTATGACTGTAAAAGTGTAAATCAAATACAATTCTTACCTTTTAAGACCCCCATTTGATGTTTCAACGGCTATATCCAATTCCAAATACCCATTGAGTTCCAAAAGAAAAAAAGTTCAACCAAAACATTTATAGAACTAGCACAGTGCACAGCCATAGCATTGACCGACCATTCATATCCATTTTTATTAAGTCCAACATAGTACTCTAAAGTCTAAACTATTACTATTTTCTACTGTATTTCTACCCATAACTTGACTAATGTCAGTTCATAACGTACTAATTATCGTGGAGATTCATTATCGCTTCTTCCTTTGTATACATATACTTTAAAACCGGATAAGCGTAACGTTAATGAATTTTGTATCACAAGTTATCATAACATTTAAACTTTACCCAAAAGAAGAGTCGAGGTCGGTGGACTGGTGGCAAAATTAATTGTACAAGTCAGATACTAATCAGCAAGGATCGCATTTCATTCGACGCTCCAACTAGTATTCTTGATCTATTTGGATAACATTAAATTCGTTTTGGATACATGTTACTAGAATTAACTTGTTTCATGGGATGCAGCATGGTTTCTCTTATAACGTGACATCAAATCTTTCTTTACAGATATAAAGTTTTTTGTTCACAAATAGTTGATTTGCGACCACTCAAATATCTATTTTAAGAAACAACATAGCAATGCACCACACTAGTTACGTGGAACTCTTATCCATATATAAATCTAAGTTTAAATTTGTTTCTAACGTTCACATATATAATTCCTTGAGATAAGGATAGATTAATACGTATGAAATACTACATCTATTAATATAAAATATAGATATTTTGTTTCTGCAGTCTCACTATATCATCATATGTATAATTTATGTAGCCCTTTACTAACAAATTTATCAATAATATCGTATATCTATAGAGACTTGAATTACTCGATGTTAATTAGGTTTTTTGATCAACTGGTAAAGTAGCTTGTAATAAAAGAGCTAATTTGGATAAAGAAAAAGTGAAGGGAGGTTTTCGTCAAAAAAAGTAAAGTAAAGGGGGATAAAGAAATTATTTAAAATAAAGGGGGACAATATTGAAGGGCGAGTTCTTTTTTTTTTTTTTTGAACTCGTAATTTTTGGCACAATTTTTTTTCTTATACTCGTAATTCCTAAATTACCCTTGAACAGGTCCCAGTTTCTTAAGTTAACTCAACCGATTGGTCTCTTTCTTCTTATTCCAAACAAAAACTCACGGCAAATTTTTCCAGTTACATATTTGTCAAATACGTAAACATGATAATTGTCAGAACCGTGATATTATGAAAGGAACAAATTCTAACGTGTCTGGGGGGTTTTCAAATACTGAAACTTTGTAGTGATTTGTGATAAAGAGAAGATATTTATATGTAGGATAGACACTAATTTTGTAAAATATAAGAGGGAAACAATTGGTCCCGTGTGTTATTATCTCAAGGGAATATAAAAGAAAATTTTCAAAATAATATCTACGCAAAAATGAATTAAGCTATAGGAGAAAAAAAAATAGAGTGTAAATTGAGAAATAACGTCAAGGTCAACTAGAGGAAGGATGGTCCCTAGCCAGTGGCGCCCATTGTGTTTTGGTTTGCTTGACTCATGGCCACGTGTCTTGACTTAAGGCGCTAAAAATGTTTGATTATTCAGCTCAATTGTAAAGTGCCATGGTTTGGTTTGGTTCACGCTTGCACCAAATCAAGGGCCAATCTATACACAAAGACCTCAGAAGATATATCTGAAGGATTAAGAAGCCTTTTTTCAAAAAAAAAAAAGATATATCTGAAGGATAAAATAAAGCATCTTGACTTGTAAGTCTGAATACTAGACTTGCGTTTTAACTTGGGTGTATACATGAGCACATGATTGATCTTAACTGTTTTAAATATGTGGAAACATTTACATTGTCCATTGCCCAAGCTGATAAATTATTTGATCGAATTTTGAAGTATAACATTGACTTATGCATTCCACATTCATAATAATGTAAATATCATACCATACACACATTTCAACATCCATTGAAAATGACTTGACTTGTAGTTTATTGTGTCAATGGTAAAACAATTATATTGAAATTGAATTATAAGGCGTTGACGGACAAATCATGTTCATGCGTGTCGAACGGCTGAAGCTAAATAATGGTGCCATCAAAGCAATTTTACAACAAGACCTAGCTGGTCTCTCCTCCCGTTGACTTTTTGACTTGTAAGTATAATTCTACAAAATAGTTTTAGGAGAGCACAAATCTTAGTTTGATAAAGGAAAAAAAAAACACTAATGCCTACATCATATATTCACACACAGAGAAACCTTATATACAAATAAACAAAAATAGATCGAAAATTCGTAACTAGCTACTCACAATGCTCAAATAATTTTCACATTTTGGGGTCCTTATATTTTTTTTTTCTAAACAATACTGTAATGTTAAAGGTTATTTAAGTATAAATATTATAAGGGACGTGATTTGGTACCCTTAGTCAGTTTTATTTTATTTTATTTATAAGAACCCTAATACATATCTCACATCAAGCACATGGAAAAAACATATCCAAAAGTCAGAATTGCATTAGAGTTTTACATTTGATACCGAATCGGTATTTCAAAACATTTTCTACAAATTCCTTTTCATGGTTTACCGTAGTCTAACTATTCCATCAATCCCATAAAGCAAACAAAGAAAAAAAGGAATAGGAGAAGAGATGATCAAGATCAAACTCTCTATCAACTTCACTTCAACATGAGCATTATATATGGTAAAGCAGGAATCAGAAGGAGGATAAAGACAACAATGAAGAGTATAATAGCGTAACAAGTCCATTTCCTCGAGCTCTTTTGGTACTCCCTCGCATCTTGGAGCTGATCAGTCCCTCTTCTCACAAACGAGCTCGCCTTCGCCACATGACTCTCTATATTGTTGAGTTGCTGCCCTTGTGCTTCCACTAAAGCCGCCATGTCCAAGAAAACTTGGTGCAACTCGAGTAGATTCTTCTCAATCTCCTTCACTGCATCATGTCTTTCTTGAATCTCAGATATAGTGTCCATGATCTGACCTCTTCCTTGCTCTTGAATCGCTTTTTGGAGAAAGTTTTCACTCTCACCGCTTGCAATCAAGTTATCGATTGTTTGCTCGTCAGCTTGTTCTCCTGTTATTGTGAAATACCTACACCGATTCAAACATAGTCAAATATACTTACACAAGAATACAAACATACCAAAAGCTTGCGATACAAGAAATCTAAAAAAGGAAAGACCTGCGCTCTACGGTTTCTTTATACTCATCGTTCATACGTGCACGTAGACCTTGGAAACTATCCATCAAGTCCTTGAGCTTCTTCCCGAGACCACTAACCACAGAAGACCGAGTCCTATCCGTAGACGAACCGGGTCCACAACCAGGGACATTACGGCTATTAGCGTTAGCTTTCTCTAGGGCTTCGAGCTTCTGTTTAATCATTTTGACCCTCTTCAGGACTTGACCTACGTCTCCATCCATCTTAGCTCGTAGCTCCTTCACCTTCTTGGCATTGTGCACCGTCTTGCATTCTTCGTTAGAGTCTTGAAGCTTCTTATAAAGAGTCTCGATTCCTTTCATGTCATCCTTCACATTCTCGACGTCCTCGAAGAATTTGTCGAGGTTCATCGTTTCTTGACCTGCCTCAACATCGCTATATTGAGCCTGGTTCCTCTTGAATGAATTTGAGAATAAGTCATTCATTTTTTTCTACAAATATTATTATTAATTATGTACAATTATTATTTTTTTTTGTAATTTTTCTTGTTAGTGCTTTTGAATGATGATCCTCACCCTCGTCCTCCTCTCTGCCTGAGTACGAGGAAGATGCGATGAGGTTTTGTTAGGAGGATTGTTTTCGTTATGTTAGAATAAGAGTCGCAAGCAGTTTTGGTAATTGTCTAAAATTAGTTAATGGCATAAATTTTTCTTAACTAAATTAGCTTACTTTGTTGAAAAAGACGTTGTTACCCAATTAATGGGCCGAGCTTAAAGCCCAATTAAAGGTCCAATTTTCTGCTTTCATATTTCTTCTTCCAAGACTTGGTTTTGATGAGAAAGATCTCAGCTACCGAAAAAATCTAAATATGCTGCTGTCTTAATCTGAGTCAAATATTCAATCTGAGTATATGTAGTCGTGGTTTGTTTATGTAAGGAGTAGTGTATGTCACGCAGGGAAGATGCTGTTATAA